ATTTTCATTTTTTTTTTAAGGTGTGGATTTTCTATTGTTTTTTGTTATAGTTCATTTGTTATTATTTTATATTTTAGTGGATTGCTACGGGCAATTTCTAAAAAGTATTAAAATAAATTTAGTATCGAATTTCAATAAAAAAAATAAAAACAATTATGTACAACATCAGACATCAGCTATCAACTTTTATTGCAAGAGTAACCTTAAAAAAATCATAAAAATTCTCTACCTAATGTCGTTTCTTTTAATGATTTTATCATTTATTGGTCAATCAATAAAAATTAATGAGTAATAAGTACTTATAAATTAATTACCCCTGTTTTGTTTTTCAAAATAAGATAATGAAGCAGCATTTTGATTTTTAATGTAATTCTAATTTGACTTTATTTGTTCTTGTAGCAATCCTCTAATTTATTATGAATACTTTTAAAAAAAGCTTTTGTTCCTGGTTTTTCTGCAAATTCGAATTTTGTTTTCTTTTAATTTCAGACAAAAAGAGGCGCATGTACGACCAGTATGGAAAGGAAGGGTTGTTGAATGGTGGTGCACGTTCTAGACGATACGACGATGACTACGACATGGGAATGGGTTTCGGATTCGGGTTCACTTTCAGAGATCCCGAGGAAGTTTTTAGGGAATTTTTCGGCGGAACTCCGTTTGCTGATCTCTTTGCTGGTATTTATGATTTTTTCTTATTTATCTAAAATTTGTTTTTTATTCTTTTGTTTTTCTTCTCTCTCTGCAGAATTAAGCGATCATGGTTCATCACACAGAAGTCGACATAGAAACGGCCGTAATTCACAGAACGCGGTCACGTCCCTGTTCAGTCCTTTCGGGGGTTTCGGTCTAGGATTAAGCGATAGCCTGATGGAGAACTTCCTGGCCACTCCGGGCGGCTTCACGTCGTTCAGCAGCGTCAACAGCACCTTCGCCAACGGCTCGCCCGGTTCCACGAACGTCAAGAGGACGTCCACGTCGACGAGGTTCGTCAACGGAAAGAAAATCACCACGAAAAAGTAAGTCTCAATGATTTTATTTCAAATAAGACAGTCGAGGTCGAGCCATCTGTTAATTTTTGTCAGAAAAAAAGTTAATTTTTTCAGTGGTTGATTGCCAAAAGTACAACAGATATTTAATTAATTAATCAACTTTTTTCTATATTTTCAATTTTTGTATAGTGCAACTTGAAGACTTGTTTTTTTTTTTCTCTTTTGTTACCTTTGCTTTTCTTTTATTATTCCGTTCTTCTTGTATTTTTGCGTTTTTTTTTTTTTTTGATTTTTCATGCTTTTGGTGTATTGTTCGTTCACTTAGAGATAGGTACAGCGTGACCGATCTGCACAAACGAATATCGGCCCGTCAGATGTTTCCGATTAAAGCCCAACCGTAGCCGTAACAAGCTTCTAACAGTTGCACACGTTAAGGTAGTCCGCGTACACCGATCTGGCTTCGTGTACATTCCTCTAAGCGAACGGACTCTACCTTGTTTCACTATTCTCGTTGTTCTTTTGTCATTTTGTTGTTTTTTTAATTTAGGTAGATACCTAATTCTTTTTTTTTTTAATGTATTTTACAGGGTGTACGAGAATGGAAAAGAAACGGTCATGACATACGAGAACGATATTCTTAAATCAAAGACTGTAAATGGAGTTCCTCAGAGCCTGACGTACAGTTAATTGTGTCACGGTCGGCCCGCTCGGCGGCCCCCCCATCACACATCCCTGTTAAGTAACGTAACGTAAAATTTATCATACCCCGTCGCTCTCCCGCCCTTATTCCCGCGTCCATTCCTCTTTTTTTTTTTAATTAATATTATTACTATTACTATTACTTTGATTATTATTATTATTATTATTATTGTAAAACGAACGATGATTATGATGATGATGATGATGATGATGGTAACTGTTGTTTATATGAAACCCACTTACAATACGTGAAATGACTTTTTATTATTACAATAGTTATTAACTTTTACTATTATTATCGTAAGGACCGACGGATACATGTGAATTTAAAAATTATTACTAGTACATATTCCATTTTAGAAAAAACAAAAAAAAAACAGAAAGCAAACAAAAAAATAACTGTGCGGCTTCTTTCTCGCCAACAAATTCCCCCCTCCTCCCCATTTTAACCCCCCACTACAGGCTGTCTGTACACTCACACACACACATGCTTGACGTAGATGTTTCGTACTTTCCCGTACCCCTCCTACCTCCAACAACTGTTACTAAATAATTAATTGATTGTTAATTGTTTGGCGTATTTAATCGATAATATTATACTATTCTTTTTAAATTAATTAATTAATTAATTGATTAATTAATTAAGTAG